ACTACTACGACTACTACTTCTACTACTACTACTACTACTACTACTACTATTTGTCTTACTGCTACTACCACCACTACTTCAACTTTTACGACTTCTACTACGACTACTGCTGCTACTACAATTGCTACTTATTACATTTTTCACTACTACTACGACTATTACTACTACCACTACTGCTACTACTACTACTACTACTACTACTACTACTACTACTACTACTACTACTACTACGACTACTATTAACTTTTTCTGGCTTAAAAGAACTACTACTACTAGACTACTAATACTATACGACCTACGACTACACTACTTACTACTACTCTATTACGACCACTACTACTACGGCTACAAATACTATAGACTACTACGACTACGATTGCGTCTCCGGACGACTACCACCATACTACTACTACTACTACTACTACTGCTACTGCTACAGCTACTTTTATTTATTTTTTTTTTGTTTTTTTTTTTTTTTTTTTAACTTTTTTTTTTTTATACTGGTACTACTACTACTACTACTACTGACTACTACTTACTACTACTACTACTACTACTACTACTACTACTACTACTACTACTACTACTACTACTACTACTACGACTACTACTACTACTACTACTACTACTACTACTACTACTACTACTACTACTACTACTACTACTACTACTACTACTACTACTACTACTACTACTACTACTACTACTACTACTACTACTACTACTACTACTACTACTACTACTACTACTACTACTACTACTACTACTACTACTACTACTACTACTACTACTACTACTACTACTACTACTACTACTACTACTACTACTACTACTACTACTACTACTACTACGACTACTACAACTACTACGACTACTACTACTAGTACCAGGAAGATCCATTTGCATATTTTAGAATCGATGTTTACGCTTCGGTGCCCTCTTGCTCATCTTAACGTAGTGCTCGTGTGCAAACCAAAACTGAGACCAATTCCAACTCGAGCATGCATGTTGGCTTCCAGATCCTGTGCGTTGACATAAGGAATGTCACTTGGTCTTCGCACTCGTCTTGGGCTTCTCTACAATCAAAATCCTATTGTGGGCCTATCCCAAGATGGTTGGGATTGGGCCCAGTTTGCTTTTCGCATTGGTTGGGATTGGTCTCAGTTGGTTGGGATTGGGCCCAGTGGGTTGGGATTGGGCCCACATGCGGCGGTGCGCTGGGGTGCTGGGGAGCGACGCATAGCGACACATGTCGACACAACGCCGAAATAAAGTGGTCGGGGCGGAGGGGGCAGCGCGCTGGGCTGCTGAGGAGAGGGAGAGGGGGGGGGGGGCGACGACGACGCCGAAATAAAGTCGTCGGGGCGGAGGGGGCGGTGCGCTGGGGTGCTGGGGAGCGACACATAGCGACACATGTCGACACAACGCCGAAATAAAGTGGTCGGGGCGGAGGGGGCAGCGCGCTGGGCTGCTGAGGAGAGGGAGAGGGGGGGGGGGGGGCGACGACGACGCCGAAATAAAGTCGTCGGGGCGGAGGGGGCGGTGCGCTGGGGTGCTGGGGAGCGACACATAGCGACACGTGGCGACACATATCGACATATAGAAACATATATCGACACACACAGATCGACGCATAGCGACACACAGCGACACAGAGCGACGCACACATGGAAACGCATAGCGACACACAGCGACACATATAGCGGCACATGAAGGGCACAAGGCACACGGCGACGCATATAGCGACACATGAAGGGCGCAAGGCAGCTGGGGGGAGCGACGACGACGCCGAAATAAAGTGGTCGGAGCTCTAGACACCCTGTGCAAGAGAGTAACTCACCGTATCCTGACGAGCGCATCGGGCCGAGTCCAGCCGCGACGACGAGGTCGCACGGAAGCGCCCCCGAAACCTCCCGAACGACGACATCGACAATGACATCGTCGTCTGCGCGCGCGCCGCGGAGCTCTCGCCGCGCCGGGGGGGGGGGGGGGGGGGGAACTGCGCGCAAACGCTGGGTGGCGATATCAGAACCAGGCCCCCGCCAACCATCGATTTTCCTAAATCGGTGAAAAGC